GAAGGTACCATGAAGAGCCCAGGTGGCTGGTGGTTTTCAACCAGTGCTCCCCTGAGCCTGAGAGACTGCAGGAGTGGGCTCAGGGTTGGGGTGGGTGGTGGGTAGGGGGATTGGAGGTGACAAATGGTGAGAGAAGTGGAGGAAAGGGAAGTTCTGGAGTCAGGCTGAGCAGTTCTGCTGTTACTGACTTTGCAAATTGAAAAGTGCTGTTGTTAGAGAAAGGAAAGTTTGAAACCCACTGTGCTACCCTAGTTAGCTTTTTACTAAGTCTGAGAGAAAAGGTGGCTAAGCAAAAGTCACCATTGCCAAGGGTCTTGGACATTTCCCTTTTTTTCAAGGAGACATGCTCTCTGTCTACCTCCCCCTGAGGCCTCTGGAGCACCTGGCTGCAAGTTCAAAGGTCGGGCAGCCTCTGAGAAGCTTCTGTCAGAAGCTTCTGGCTGCCCCACGTACACAATACTTGACCAGTGCCTTTCAGCTTGGCTGTGAACCTTGGGAACCTCACCGAGATTAGTTCCCTGGCCTGGCCTTCAAACACATTGTCTCACTGAATACTTGTGACGTTGAGTGTTCCCTGTGTACACAGTGGCGAGAGCACAGGCAAGGTTCCTGACATCAGGGGCCTGGTGAGGAGACAGGAACATGTAAGGACTTTTGTCAAGTATTTTTGGAGATAGTTTATGTTTGTTATACATGATTATCATGTGTGATAGTTTCTCGAGGGTGATTTCATCTAAAAGACATGGAATAGGGAAGGGCTAGGCAACGGGAATGGTTAGACATTGGGTGGAATTGTAAGGGGTTGCTTGCCCTGTGACTTTCCACTTACTATCTCTGGGATTGGCACCGCTTACTTTTTCTTCAAGTCTTCCTTTCCTCATCTGTAATGTGGGAACGAGGCTGGCCAGCTCACTGGGTTGTTGATGGGATTAAAGGGCATAATGTGTGCAAACTGCTGCCAGTACAATGCTTCACACAAAGTAAACACTCATTAAATTATAGTTGTTATTGTTATTGGCAGCGAGGAGCCAGGGAGACTATTTTTTAAACTGATCAATGGTGTGATTAGAGCTTTGCTTCTCCACAAAGCACTCTGCTTTCACCACCTGGGCCTGCACCAGTCGTGGGCCATGGCTTCAGTTCACTCTTCTAAGTTATCTCGTTTGTCTCCACTCAGCTGTCCACCTCTCCCACTAGTGCTCACACTCCTGTGTCACAAATTAATTTAGTGCTTTTCTCCAGCGTTAAGCACAAGGAAATTGATGATAAAATGCAAAGCGGCGAACAATCGTCACTGAGCTCAGCATTCATTTGCCTTGGGAATGGATTTCTGGGGAAAATCCAGCCCCACCATAATGACATGGATGATTTGGATCTTTGCAGAAATTGAAGAGAATCCTGATTACTATCGTGTTGGGAGAGGACTGAAGGAAGCCAGACTGGTTCCTCACTCTCAGAGCTTCTTGGGGGCCCTCTGGCTCCCAGGTGACCTGCAGCAGGACCTCTGGTATGTATGTAAGTGGACCTCTTTGCTGCCTTAAGGTTTTGTTTCAAATCTTAAGGAATAGCCAGGAGGTTTTTAATGGATTGAAATTTCTGTCTTTTTGCTATCTGCAACTTGAAATATCCTGTGCCCTTGGTAATTCATGCTTGGGAGCTTGCTTAGTGCTCTCTGGTAAATAGCTTCTTACTGTTTGCGTATTTCCCCACGGGCGTATTGCAGAGAGACTGGAGCCTGTGTTTCTCTAACAGCTTCTCCAAGGAAAACATTGCAGGTCACATTTCTGCAACTACAACTGTGGGGCAGTGTGGGGGCGGGAGTGCGTCTTCCAAACGTCCATCTCTATTATCTCCTTTTGGCCTGGCATTCGCTTTTGGCTGAAAAGGGAGAGTCTGCCTTGAGCATTCCTGTAGACAGATGTGACTTTGCAGTTAAAAAATTGACAGTCCCTGCCGACCTTCAACTTCAACAGTGAGTAGTGTATAGAAATAACCCTGTAGAGCATCAGATTATTACTCTTTAATTCCCAGAGCCTTCATGTTTCCTTGTCTTGAGAATGACCTCACTGCTCTCTGAGTTTGTAATGGAATGCGCAGTCATTTACAAGTAATCACACCATGATCCCCTACACGTTTGTACGCCTTCCCGGTCTCTCAGAGGGCTTTCACTCACATTATCTCATTTGATCCTCATAACTGCCCTGAGAGGCAGACAGAGTGTCTCTCTTAATCTCTAATTTTCAGGTGTAGAAACCAAGGTTTGGAAAGTTAAACATTTGTTTGGAGGTCATTACAGCCAGCAGAATTGTACCTGGAATCTCAAGCAGTCTAACTTCTAAGCCGGTGTTCTTTTTACTACTTATTCTTGCTGTGACCTTGGGGGTATCCTTAATCCCTCTGAGCCACAGTATTCCTCTCACTAAATTAGGTGTGAGGCCACCTCCAGGGGTAGTGGCCACAGGGATTAAATGAGACCACCTAGGAAAGCATTTACCAACCAGTGAAGCATATCTCTAATGTCAGACATCGTCGTTATTTGTACCTTATATCCACATAGTGCCATCAGAACTGTGGCACATTCCCCCGCTTTTTGTAAAGATCCCAGGGCTAGAATACCTGCGGTCCTGCCTGCAGGCTGCTGACAGCACTCCTGTTGGAAAGGCCCTCCTGTTCCACAGAGCTCTGCCTTCATGTGCCTCGGAGCAGCCTTGTATCCTGGAGACAGCTTTGGGACTGGCAGGACTGGAGAGCAGGAGTGGGGAGCTGGGAAGGGGATGTGCGTTCCTCAGCTTTGTCCACAGAGCATAGGGGTGTGGCATGGTGATGTGGTAGAGGGAGGTGAGGGATGGGTCCGGAAGGCCTAATTTTTCCCATTTCTCAGTGACTGGGATTTCATAGGAAACATCATGTGAATCCGTAAGGCTAGAAGTGTATATGCAGAACAGGATGCTTAGCAGTAACACTTATTGGAAAACCGAAAAAGGATGGCTTTCAAGTTGGCAACAAACGCATTAGGAGATAGCAATGTGATGCAGTCAGGAAACAGGCAGAGTAACTGAGGGACGAGATCTTGGTGAGCTTCATAGGGAGCCAGATTATGTTGCCATATAAGGAAGAACTTTCTGTTGGAAAGATGGAATTTGCAGCTTCAGGAGATGATCTTCACCTCACTGGAGACCTCAGGACTACCATGGAGGGATTCACTGACAGGGGGGTAGGAACATCGGCTCAATGGCCTTTGTGGTTTTTCTCCTCTTGAGATCCCTGATCCAGTGGTTCTCGGTGGTCAAGAGGGAGAGAGGCACACATACATTAAGGAATGAAGAGCCCCTTTGTGGATTTGAAAACTGATCTCTAAATGCTACTTGCAAAATGGAGGGTAGATAAAGACTATCATTCTGCTTTTCATAACTATCCCTGTAGCTCCCTCCTTGGTCCTTGGTTTTCCAGAACTCCTAGGCCATCCATGGGCAGCTGTTTTTCATGGAATATCACTTGCATCTGCTAAAATGGACCTGTTGCAATATTGGAAGGGACTTAAAGCTCCTGACAAGATGACAGTCTTTCTATAGCACCACTAATTCTGATGGCTGGTCTAGTCTTCCGAGTTACATGTGAGGACCCTCTCCTTACCTTCTTCAGGCCTGCCTCGGGGACCCCCTGGGGTCCTGCAGTGGTGAGAATTCTGTACTGAGCTCTGCTTCTGGCATGGAGCGGTAGGTTCTCTGATCCTGCTTCCTTATCTTATTTAATAGTCACTTATATTTGTGTTCATTGATGAAGCATGCCATGAATAAGCAGTGTTTGCAGTTTTTCGGGTACTTGTGACATGCTTGCTTGATACAATGAGTAATGGAGATGAACGCGTCATGACCTTTTGTCCAGAACAAGTGGGGGCTGCTTTTACAGCACACAGTCGGGCGGTTTGGGGCAGCTACCCAACTGTAGGTAGGACAATGTGAGCTCTAAGAGTGGAACTGATTTGTCCCAGACTTTAAGGAGTGATTCATCTGGGCTTAGAGCTTGGGTCCCCTTACTCCCTGACTGGTGCTATTTGTTGCTAGAAGATTCTCTGTGGATGAGAACAAGCAACTTCCTGGTGTGGGCCCAAGGGCCAGGAAGTGGACGATAACTCTAAACTGGCTCATCTGACCTATGAAAGCCTTTACAGCCACTAGTAGAACAAGATCACACTAAGAAATAGAACCACAGGGAAGCCAAGATATGGCTCCCCTTCTCTGAGCCAACCCCTCTGTACCCATACTGCCATTTCCCCTAGCATTTCATCTCTCTCTCTCCTTTCTCCTTTTCTAAATTAGTCTGGACTTATTTTAGACCAGATTCATTCCTGACTGACTTCACCGGTCCAATTTAGTCATTGAGCACTACTCAGGAACTTAAGATTGAAATTAATCTTACAAATTAAATTGGGCATTCCACCCTCCTATTTCCCCCACTCCCACCCCCACCCAGTGTTCTCTGGGAGTCTGGTTTTATTCTGGGTTTTCCTGCCTGGTGTCTGTCCTATGAAGAACTCATGCAAAACTAAGTTTTTAGGAGGAATCTCTGCCCAAGGGAGTTGGGAATTGAGGTGTAAGAGTAGGGACCGTTTTAGGACTCATCTGTCATTAAAATAAGTGCACACTGGATTCTGGGTGACCTCTATAGATGAATCCCCCCAAATAGCTCCCCTTACCCTGAGTTAATAGGTTGACTTCATACATGTAGTTACATTCTGGATGACCTCATTCCTAAGGTGAACTTAGAGCTTTTCAGACCAGTCCCTTCCTTGTTTGGGCGGGGCAGCCTGTGGAACAGTTCAGACTCTACTTCTTTGGGGGTTAATCATTTACTCCCTGTAAGGAATTCTGTCTTAAGTGGGGCATTTCTTCAAGTGCCAGAGGACAGAAGGGTGATTTTTCTGACATCCTCCAGCCTGCTTCCCCATATATGGAAATGTTTACCCACCACACTGATCTATTGGAAGAGAAGGAGGTGACTCAGGGTTTAGGAGAAGCAGGATTTGAATTCTTGTTTCCAGAAACAAAGTCGTGCATGCCCCCCCGCCTGCATCCCTCCCCTCCATTCCTTTGCCCCTAGTTCTGGAAGCTGAGGAGAGAATGTCTCAGTGCTCTTTCCCTCTGGCCTTGCGATCACCTCCTTGCAGTGGGACTCGGGGCGTGTGAGAGGGAGTGAGAGCCAGCGGAGGGCCAGCTGCCTGTGGGGCCTGACGTTGCGTGAGTACTTCATTATTGCCAGGGCGAATGGCATTTCTGCTCCCAGACCCTGAGTTTGCAGCCCTGACAGCTGGTAGCCCTGCCGGTGATGGGGCTTATTGCTGGGAGCACTGGTGCTTTAACTGGGGGTGTGGACAGCTGCTTTCCCAGGGAATTATTTTTCATAGTAGGACTTAGAGCCAGGCTCTGTGAGGAAACATGCTATTTGTGTGCAGAAAAATTAGATATTTTCTCTCACCTGAGGCCTAACTTGAACTGGATGGAAAGATAATTTGGGAGTGATGAAGTCTGATTGCTAGGGCTAAGGCAACAAGACAGAAGGGATGTTTGGGGTTGCTTGGGCAGGGATAGTTTTAGCTTGAAAGACAGAGCTATGGTTGGACTTAAGAGTATGCAGAATGTTGCTAAATAGCATTTGCATACCATCCGCAGTTGGGTAAACACCTGGTAGGCAGGACATCTGTGTCTTTTTGATGGACTGTCGGAGGTGGAAGGACACTTAGACATTATTCAGTTGACCTATCTCATTTTACAGCATGACAGTGGGTAGTGGAGGCCCAGGGAGCCCGGCGAACTTGCCTTGCAGGTACATGGCTAATTAGGTGGGATTAGTACACAGATCTTCTCACTCTGTGTTCCTTCTTCCTTCCACTGCAGAAGAGCTGTTCCTTCAGGCAAAGGCAGAAAACATGCCCATTTTGCAGATGAGGAAATTGGGACTCAGAGATGCCAGAGTTGCCCACATTTCCTGATCTTCTTGGTGAGAAATCGAGAACTAGAACCACATCCTCCCAGTTCAGACCTCTTTCAGTCATGTTACATGGGCTTAGCTGTCTGAATTTGTTTTTTAAAATTTTATTTTTCCTCCCTTCTTTGGTTTCTACTTACCTTTTCCTGTTTTTGATCACGTGAATGTTGTTTGACTGTGAGCTGCTATCTTCTGATCTGCTTTGCTGCCTGTGTCTTTTCCTTTTCTGAAAAGGGGATGATGGCTTGTCCGAAAGGCAGGACTGACGAGTGAAACCCTGTATTTAGGTTTTATCCGAGGCAGTGGAGACTGTGAATGGGCCTTGAAAGAAATTGAGCAGGTCTGTCCATCTAAGCCCCTGCCACTCTTCTTGAAGCCGTAAGAATTCTGGAGTATTTCTCCCTCCCATTCAAAGGTGAGCTCTGATTCTGAGTAGATTTCACACACACACACACACACACACACACACACACACACACACACACTTCTTTTTTAGCCTTTTTGATGCAGTGCCAACATCTGACAGAGACCAAGAAGGCACCACTCTAGTACAGTCCACCAGATGCCATAATGAGTAACTCTTTGTGGTCAGTTCAGTTTCTGATCAACTTGGGGGGTCACTTACTCCAATACAGGGAAGATGATGAGGCTGCATTTTGGTGAAGCACTTTGATGCCAGTGGCATTGGGTGGCAGACTTTAGTAGAGTAGAGAAAGTACTCGAAAACCTGTGTTTGTTCTGGTCATTGTTGAAGAGAAGGGGTGCTGCTCTGAAGCCCTGGGGAGAGGCTGTATGCAACCTGTCCTCTCCTCCATGGGACCTGTGGCTGGGAGGGGCTCGGAGGCCTTGCTCATTCATGGGAGGAGGCTTCCTGGAGTCATGAGGGCTTGGGATGTTTTTCTGCTGTGCTGCTGATGGACAGGGGCACTAAGAGTTTAGGGTTGGTGGCACCAGTGTGAACGCTATTCCTATTAATAAGGAGAACTGATGTAAATTGATTACTTCCTGGTACCAAGCGTGGTGCTAGGCGCTAGACCTAAATCACGGAGTCACTACTACAGCTACCCATAAATACATACTATTTTTTAAAAATTTGACTTTTACTTTTGGTAAAATACACATCAGGCGGCACTTACCATCTCAGTAGGGTGTACAGCTCAGTGGGGTTTACTACTCTCTTATGTACAACCAGTCTCCAGAGCACTTCTCATCTTGCAGAACTGAGACTCTACCCATTTAAGCATTAACTCCTCACCCTCTCCTTTCTCCAGCCTAGTCCACCAGTCCACTAGTCCACCTTCTCTCTCCCTGGGTTTGACTGTTCTGGGGATCTCACGTAAGTGCGATCACATAGTGTTGGGCCTTCAGTGACTGGCTCGTTTCACTTAGAATAATGTCCTCCAGGTTCCTCCTGTTGTAGCCCGTGTCAGAATTCCCTTCCTTTTTAAGGAAGGATAATATTCTCTTGTATATACGTAGCCCATTTTTTTTACCCTTTTAGGGATTGTTTTTTTAACCTCCATTTTATAAAGGAAGAACCTGAGGCGTTGAGGCCACTAGTCACATGGTCAGTAGCGGAGCTGGGCTTTGAACCCAGCGGTGTGACTTCAGAGGGCATGTGATCAGGAGTAAGCAGATCCTGAGTTGTAACTGACAGGAGTGTGAAAAACCAGTGCATTTCTCGACTGGATAGTGGCACTTCTTTTCACAAGTTGTGGTGACATTTCAATAGCCAAGTGTTCTAAAGGGATGTCCGCAGGTATTTTCCTGTTTTGTTTTCACTTATGCGGATCTCAGGGCCAAATGTGAAGCCCGTTTGTAACAAAGAATATAGGACTTATGGCTCCTATTTTTTGTAATCCCTTTCTTCACCTTATTTTTCCATGTCCCCTCCCCCCAGTTTTTTTCATTTTTAAAAAAGGTCGCGAATGATGTGCATCTTTTGTCAGGCACTTTAAGTCCTTCCTGGAACAAGGCGGCATATATAAATCAGTGACATGGTATCAGATGTTTTCGTTGTTATGTCTAAGGAACAGCTGGTCTGTGGACAGAGATTGAAGATGAGAGTTTCTGACCTGGCTCTGCTGCTCAGTCAGTGTTTATTTTATTGTATTTTTTAAAAATTCTCACCTGATGACATTTTTCATTGCTTTTTAGAGAGAGGAAGGGAGACAGAAAAACATCTATGTAAGAAACATTGATTGATTGTGCCCAGACCAGGATGGTACATGTCCGGACAGGGATTGAACCCTCAATGTAGGCGTGTGCCCTGACTGCGAATCCAACCTGCAGTCTTGCGATTATGGGACAATGCCCAGCCAACTGGACCACCTCAGCCAGAGCTCACTCAGTGTTTAACTCTGGTGATGATGCACGCTCCTTTCTGAGTCTTGATTTTCCCACCTGGAAGATGGGCTTGTTGGTGATGGAGGCGAACACTTCTTTGCTGAATCCTGTGCTAGGCGCAATACATGATTTATCACTTTTAAATCTCCCGGCTCTCCCACTAGCCAGGTGCTGTTATTTCCATTTTACCTGAGAAAGCAAAGCCTAGAGAAGGGGGGAAATTTGCCCAAACTCTTACAGCTCCTGAGTCCCAGCATTAGTGACCCATGTCCTACTCTGGAGCCCAGGGGTTAGCCACGGTTCTGGGCTACTTACCCTTCAGCAGTCTGTAAGGTTTCTTTCATCAGGGGCATGTATTAGTCTAATTTTATTAAATCTTTATTGGGTTCCCACTCGTGTGCCTTGTACTGTTCTGGGCGCTGATCCAGCACTGGGTTTAGAGTGAAGAAAAAGACACAGGCAAGAATGATCCCTTGCAGCTTGCATTCCAGTCGGGGTATGCGGAGGAGGGAGATAGTAAATGAACACATAGACAGGAGAGAATGATTAACACTTCAGAGGATTCGCTCTGACTGAGTGAATGGAGGAAGGGCTCTGGGAGGTGATTGTTTAAGCTGAAATCTGAATGACAAGAAGGCAGTCATGTAACAGTCAGGAGAAGAGCATTGCACATAGACGGCACGGTCCATGCAAGGGTGTGGAGTGAGAATAGGTTTGCGTTTGGGGAACAGAAGGAGCCCACTGTGCTGGAAGGCCATGGGCTCCAGGGGAAAGAGCCTGAGACACGAGTGGGGAGGGCTGGGTGGTGTTCTTAAGCTAGAGTGGAGGTGGGGCCCTGAGTCTAAGTGTGATGGGAAGCATCTGAGTTACGTTTCACTAGCATCGTTCTGGCTTCCGTGGGGGGTGGGAAATAGATTGCAAGGAGGGGACAAGAGTAGAAGCAAGAAGGTTAGGAGGAGACTCTTGCAATCATCCAGGTGGTAGGTGATGGTTATTTTGATTAGGGCAGTACAAGTGGGGCCAGAGAGCAGTGGATGGGTTCATGACATGTATTGGAGGGGTTGTGTATGCTACCAAATGCCAAGTGCAGTATTCTTCAGAGAGTGTCAGGCTCAATGGGCGGGATGCTGGGAGACCCTGGCACAGGTGAAAACAGGTATAGTGGGTGGGTGGGGCACAGATTGCAGCTGATCTGGACTAAGGAGTCTGTGTGCTCCCTGGTTTGGTTTCTAACCTTGAGCTTCTGGCCAATGAATGGAGGGCAGTGGCTTCCTGCCTCTGACTTCCTGGCTAAGAGATGCTGGAATGCCCCCAAATAAGCCCTGTAGAACAAGCCGCTTCCTTTGCTTTCCCTGGGTATTTGTATAAAGCATTCTTTCCCACCAAGAATACAGAACATTCAGAGCGATGTTGACTTTATGGGCCATATTTAACTTAGTGTTTTTCCTTGATGTGTTGTCTGTTCTTGTAGAGATTCTTGCCTCCAGTAAGCTCCCTGGTGAGGAGGCTTCATTTAACCATCCTGCCCTGTAAGGTGGCTCTGGAAGGCTTAGTGGGAGTCCAGAAAGAGCTGGGGTTTCAAAGCCTCACCTCCACTGGAACTCTGGGCCAAAGGCACTTCGCAGCCCTCTTCTTTCATTTACATGTGAATTTACCCTTGCTGGCCCTTGCTGGCTTCCTGCAATTCCCTTTAATGTGCTAGGTAGGCTTTCCAGTAAATGCTCCACCTTTCAGGGGATAAAACGGTTTCAGAGAAGTTCGGGGATTTAGTCCATGTAAGGTAGTGCTAGCAGATAACCTCATGCCCCCGGGGGGTCTCGTGATCTTGTATACACTCTGCCCAAGCCTGGCGATGCGCAGAGATCAGAAATAAAATCATCAGAGATTCACTCCTGAGGATTCTTTGGACATTCTGCTTCAAACGTTTGCAGTCTATAGATACCAGCGTGGTTTTTTTTTAAGATTCTTTAATATCATCTCTTAAATACAGTGTTTTGTTTTTCGCTCCTTCGATTTTCTCTAAAATTTTTCCTCCATTCATTTAGTCAACAAACATTTATTGAGTTCTTACTGTATTCCAGGCATTGTTCTAGGTGCTGGGGATTGATTCAAAGATAATTTGGAGGCATTTGGAAGGGGAGTGGATAATTACAGCACAGTGAGATAAGTGCTATAATAGAGGGATATATGAAGAGCTAGAAATAGCACTACGAATAACATCAACGAACAAATTGCCTTCTTTTTTCCTTTTGGATTATTCCCTGTTGTATATTGCCCAAAGTGGGATTACTGGGTCATTTAAAAGATGAAAACAATTTGGCACAAAAAGATGTAATGACTTGCCTGGGGAATACAGCTCAATTTTCAACAGGGGGAAAAATTGTTGACAACTCCAGATTTAGCTACTTCACCAGGAGGATTAGGCAGTTTTTCTGCTACCCCTATTAACACGGTGGCTTACAGGGGGGCGCCTATTCTGCACACATCAGCCTGCGTGTAGAAACACATATCCTTATATTTGATCTCACAAGTAAATTGTTAATTCCCACAAGGACCTAGCCATGTACGTATGATTGTTTCCACTTTACAAATGAGGAAATTGTGCCTTTGTGAAAAGGAAATGGCTTGCTCAGGATTGAAGAGTTAATTTGTGAAGAATCCAAGAA